GAAATGTCTTCATTCAAAATAAATTCCTTCCCGTTGTTAAGACAAACACTGTGAAGAAATGAGGAATGAATGGAAGGAAGTGGCAAGCCGGTGGGTACAAGTAGGAAACCTAGAAATGTTGTACCCTATAGTGTCTACCCCACTACAACCTAGATAGACCATAGCATATAAGTTTGACACACCCCCATAGGCAAAGTGGGGGAGAACAAGAGGTCACAAGACCAGTCAAGCAAAGCAAAGCAAGCTCAGGGTGGATCACAACGTCACCTCACATTCCGAGCACAAGTTCAAGGCCACAAGGCTAGTTCACATGCAAGATCATATATAAAGGTAAACAAGAAAGTGCAGGTATAGAAAGATCACAGTACAAGCAAGGTCAAGAAGTGAGCAAGTGAGGCCAAATAGGCACAAGACCTAGCATCGTAGAGAAGCGCTGATGATCACAAGGCGGAAGTGCCTTGGTAAAGATATCAGCATTCTTGGCCTCAGAGGCCACGTAAGCAAGGCGCAGCTGACCACGCTGCTGCAACTCATGAGCATGGAAGTAGCGAAGAGCAATGTGCTTCGTTCTGTGCTCCAGTCTATGCTCCCGACACAAGGCCAGCATGGCCTTGTTGTCTACGTACAGTACTGGAGGAGAACGAGGTGGCGCTCCTAGGCCAGTCAGCAGGTAGGTGAGCCAGCATAGCTCCTGTGCAGCCATGGCCCCCGCGTAGATCTCAGCCTCACAGCTGGAGCCGAGAACAGAAGATGAGTGGGTAGACCGCCACGAAACAGAGCCGGAACCAAGGCTGAAGGTGTAACCCTGTGACGATCGCTGCGTAGCCTGGTCGTCAGCCCAAGAAGCATCTGCATGACCTGTGAGGACCATTGGACGTCGCCCTCCAAGCACTAGCCCCATGCCTGACGTACTACACAAGTAGCGCAACACCCTCTTCGCTGCAGCCATGTGCTCTGGTCGGTGTCTACCAGGAGCAACATAGCGTGCCAAGATGCTAAGAGGGTATGCAAGGCCAGGTCGTGTGCAGGTCATCAGGTACATGTGGCAGCCAACAAGCTCTGGGTACGGGCCACTCGGTTCTACGAACTCATCCAAAGGCAGAGCTGAGAGCGAGTGGCGAGTAGGCAGAGGAATGGCGTGAGGTGAGGAGTATGTGAAGTCGAAGCGCTGAAGGACTTGCTGCACCATGTGTGACTGAGTCAGGGTAACGGTGCGATGTGCTCTGTCCCGGGTGATCTGCAAGCCAAGGTAGCTACGCAGTTCACCCAGGTCTGTGCACGTGTGTCTCTTCTGCAGCTCGAACTTCACGTGGGCGAGTCCACCAGTGTCATCAGTGGCAAAGACCAAGTCGTCGACGTACATGAGGATGTAGAACGGCGGCAAAGAGGTGTCGGTGCCCAGAAACAGCGACGGGTCGGCAGTAGAAGGAGCAAACCCAAGAGCCGCTAGTGTAATCCTCAATGTGTCGTGCCACTCACGGGGCGCCTGGCGGAGACCATAGATTGGCCGCCGGAGGCTCCACTGGGTGCCAGGGGGAAACGACCTAGTGAAGCCAGGTGGGCGGCGTAGCCAGATCTCCTCGTGCAGGCTGCCCTGCTCGAAAGCTGTGCTGAAGTGAAGAGAGTGAAGCTCGTAGTCGCGCTGAGCGACTATGTGCAGCAGTACCCGAAGAGTGGTCATCTTCGGGGTGGGAGAGAAGGTCTGAAAGTAGTCAACTCTCTGCCGCTGACTGAAGCCTCGAGCCACGTAACGCGCCTAGAAGACAGGTGGAGAACCCGACGACCGCTTCACCCTGAAAATCCACATGCCACTGACGATGTTCACCGCAGGTGGGGGAACCTCGTCGACGTAGGTGCCTGTGGACTTCCAGGAAGCCATCTCTGCCTCCATGGCTGACTGCCACTGTGAGGAGTAGGGACCCTCGATCGCCTCAGCGTACGATCGAGGAGTCGGGATGTCTGGTGCATCCGGGTCTCCCTCAGGAGCAATCAGTGTGGACACGAGATGAGGCAAAGCAGCAGCAAAACACTAAAACTCCTCCTGCCTGTCCTCAAGGACGTCCGTGCTAAGAGCACACTCACCCTCGACGGACGGAGGACAGACAGACTCAGACTCAACAACGAGACTAGCAGCGTAGTCTAGACGACAGGGAGCAGCAAACTCGACAAGCTCAACAACTAAGGCAGACGCAGCAGTGGACTCAAAGGAAGGGTCAGTGACAACAGTAGCCAGGAGACGCATGACAGTAGGACTGGCAGCACGAAGAGAGTCAAAATCCGGGTCAGCAAGGACAGGAAGAGAGGACTCTGGAGGAGACGGCAACGGGACACGCAGAGGAGCAGTGGATTGACGCAATGCCATCTGGTGTGTGCCTGGGACCGCAAGAGGTAGCGGACGCAGAGCACGACTACTAGTGCGAGCAACACGAACAAGCAACGCAGGACGAGACGCAGGCTCACGACGCTCAGCAAGACCTATAGTAGGACCAGTGTAGGGAGAATGAGCATGCAGGGGGGAGGCGGGCTGTAACTGTGACCGCGACTGGACAGGCGATGGACACTCTAAGGGAGGAGTAGGACTAGAAGAGGGCGGGAGACCAAGAACCTTCTCAAGGAGCGGAACGAAGTACGGCTGTGGCCGTGCAGCGCCTTCAGAACTAGCAGGGACAGCACCTGTACCCCCAGCGGCAGCACCAGCGCCAGCAGCACCTCCAGCTCCCACAACGCCAACTCCAGCACCCTTAGAAGCAGCAGTGCCAGCAGCACCTCCAGCGCCAACACCCCTAGTAGCTCCAGCTCCAGCAGCTCCAGCAGCACCAACTCCAGCAGGACCGCCAGCTCAAGTACCGCCAGCAGCTCCAGCAGTACCTCCAGCAGGAACAACACCAGTAGCCCCAGCAGCACCCCCAGTCCCAGCAGCTCTAGTACCGCCAGTACGAGCACCTTCAGGACCAGCAGCAACAGCAGCACGGCTCCAGCGCCGGGCAAACCACTAGCGCAGTTCCTGCGGAGAGGGTGGCTCCCGCCTTGACGAAGCACTGCCAGAGGCCACACGAGGAGACCTAGAACCCCCAGGCTCCGCACCCCCAGGCTCCGCACCCCCAGGCTCAGCACCCCCAGACTGCGCACCCCCAGGCTCAGCACCAACAGACCCGACACCCGCAGGCTCTGCACCCCTAGCAGCACCAGAGTCAACAGCTACCTCGACAGGCTCGACTGCGTCTTCCTGAGACACACCTGACGGGGCAGGACCCTGAGGGGGGAGAGGGTCTACCGGGGGAGGACCTGGTGCAAGGAAGAGCGGCGGCGGGGGGAGGGGCGCAGTGCGGTAGGGGAAGAGACGGTAGTAAGGCACCGACTCATCAAAGGTGGCGTCTTGGGAGGACAGAACACGGCGCGAGGTGGGGTGGTAAAACTGCCAACCAGGCGCGTCAGGGGGGAAGCCAAGGAAGACGCAGGGAACAGCACGGGGGGACAGCTTGTCCGCAGACAAGTCGCGGACAAACGCCTGAGATCCCCAAACACAAAACGCAGACACATCGCCAACCTTCCCCGTCCACTGCAAGGTGGGTGAGGTCTCTGGCAAGGAGACCCGGGGCTGAAGGTTGAGCTGATGCGCTGCGTATTGCACCACAAACGGCCACAGAAAATGGGGAGCAGCCGCATGGATCATGGACGTATGAGCGACGCCCATGACCATGCCAATGTGGCGCTCAGCAATCCCATTTTTCTGTGGAGAGGCCGGATGTGTGAAGGTGTGGCGGATGCCCTGTGCACGACAGAAGGCTCCCAGACGGGGGGAGGAAAACTCCCCGCCTCTGTCAGAGTGCAGACGCAGAACAGGAAAGTCCGAGCCGAAACTCTCTCCGAGCTGGAGACGAGCCGCGCGGATCCAGTCGATCAACACCTCAGTGACGTCACCCTTGCTGCGTAAGGGGAACACCGTGGTGTAACGCAAGTAGTCGTCAACCACCAACAGGAAGTAACGCTCGTGACCCTGGCCACGGACGCGGGCGGGGCCCCACACGTCCATGTGAAGAGTCTGCAGCGGAGCCTCTGTCGGAGGAAACTCAGAGGAGTGAGGGGCGGCGCGCTGCCGCCCCTCGACGTAGGGAACGCAGGTAGGGGCAGGCCCCGGAGGGAGGGGAGGGAGGGACTGGGGGAGACCAATGACAAGGACACGGGAAGCCATGCCTTGGAGACGAGGCAGGGAGGGGTGGCCAAGGCGGTGGTTCCAAAGGAGAGTCTGGTGGGACAGGAGACGACACGAGCAGGGAGCAAACTCAGGACCAGACCTGGACGCTGCAGTAAACAACTGACTCGACGCAGCTACCTGACCAGACTCAGCAACCGGGGGAGACTCAATAGTCAGTGTGTACAGGCTCGACCCCGGCCGACGGGTAAACGTGGCCAAGTGTCGGCCCGTCCGAGCACACGTACAGTGGGTCACCCGCTGACTCGCAGGAGTGAACTGGTCAACCCCCCCATCCTGTATATCAGCGCCACTCACCAATTTTGTAGAGAACGAGGGGAGGTAGAGACCAGACAGGGTGCCAGAGGGGGCTGCCGGACACGGTAAGACAGTGGAGAAGCGAGCAAGGACAGGACCCCCAGAGGGGTCCGCCAGGGAGAGTCTCTTCGCCGCTGCTAGGAGGGCCTTCTCGAGGAGGTCAACGGTGTGTGTGGTGGGGCAAACTGAGAGGAAGTGGTCCTTGACTAAGCGAAGGGAGTCAGGGAGCCCGGTGACCATGTAGTAGAGGGTGATGTACATAGGGGGAGGGTTCCTGGCACAGAACTCAGCAGGAAGCGCAGTGCAGTAGCGAGTGTCACTAGTGCGAAGGTGCGTAATGAGGTCAGCGACTGTGGGAAAGGCAGCAAGGTCATGCAACAGGTACGGCAGCATGAGGCGACTAAGAGCAGCAGTGGCAGGGGAAGAGTAGCGTGCAACTACAGCGTCGTACAAGGTCTTAGCACTCTTGTACTGACTAAAGTGCGCACGCTTAGCGGTCGGTAAGTGGCGACGCACAGCAAGACGGGCAGTAGCATCGTGTGGGCCCATTGTGAGCGAACAGTGCTGTCGGCATCAGCAGGCGGGGTATGAGAGGCATCAGAGGTGAGATCAAACAGGGAGAGTCCGTCTGCCCTATCGCACTGGAGGAAGAGCTGGAGGTCATCGACCCAGACCTCAAAGTCAATAGCACGGCCCTCAGCATCAAAGGTAAGGACAGTGGGGGTAGCCATGACAGCAGTGGTCTAGCAGGGAGTGCTCTCACCAGTCCGGGTGGGTAGGGCCGGGGCGCGTCGGTAGGAACAGTAGCAGCTCGACGGCGGCTCGGCGGCAGCGGCTCGGTAGTGGCGGCTCGACGGCGGCCTCGGTGGCTCGGCGGCTCGGTGGCTCGGCTCGGTGGCTCGGCGGCTCGGCTGCCGGGCGGCTCGGCTGCTGGGCGGCTCGACGGTGCGGCGGCTCGGCGGCTTGGCGGCCCAGCGGCTCGGTAGCTCGGCGGCTCGGCTGCTTGGCGGCTGAAGGGGCCGTGAGGGCCGGTGACGGGGCCGCTAGAGGCGGCAACGGGGCCATGAAGGGCAGCGACGGGGCCGTTAGAGGCGGCGACGGGGCCGCGAAGTGCGGCGACGGGGCCGCTAGAGGCGGCAACGGGGCCGCGAAGGGCGGCGACGGGGCTGCGAAGGGCAGCGACGGGGCCGCTAGGGGCGGCTATGGGGCCGTGAAGGGCGGCGACGGGGCCGCTAGGGGCGGCGACGGGGCCGCTAGGGGCAGCGACGGGGCCAATAGGGCCGGCGACGGGGCCGCTAGGGGCGGCGACGGGGCCGCAAAGGGGCCGCAAGTGGCCTCAAAGGGCGGCAACGGGGCCGCTAGTGGCAGCGACGGGGCCGCGAAGGGGCCGCGAGGGGCCTAGAGGGGCGGCGACGGGGCCACGAAGGGGCCGCGAGGGGCATAGAGGGGCGGCAACGGGGCCGCAAAGGACGGCGACGAGGCCGTAAGGGGTGGCGACGGGGCCGCTAAGGGTGGCGCGAGGGGCCGTGAGAGAGGTCTCTAGGAGGGCGCGACAGGCCACTAAGGGCAGGGGACGCGACGTGAGGGCGGCCAACGGGGCGCGCCTCGGGCAGAGGCGACTCGTGCTCTGGTCAGGGAAAAAGAAGTCGATTTCAGTGGTGGGCCCTGAGAAGCGTTCCCACTAGGGAACCTGCTCTATACCATGTGAAGAAATGAGGAATGAATGGAAGGAAGGGGCAAGCAGGTGGGTACAAGTAGGAAACCTAGAAATGTTGTACCCTATAGTGTCTACCCCACTACAGCCTAGATAGACCATAGCATATAAGTTTGACACACACACACACCCCTTTTTGCATTTATCAAAAGACCCTAGGGTGCTGTATCCGGGGGATTACAGTTTATAACACGGTACATAACTGCACAGGACCTCGACTATGGTACTAAGAAACCTAAACCAGGCTCAGCTGCTTGGATTATAACCTTGAGATTATGCACTTCTGAAGAGATGTCAGGAGCTCCCTTCTACTCCCTGCAGGATCTGCCCTTCTCAGCTGCACAGTTGTCCCCACTACACTGGGCTCCTCTCCACCACCTGCCTAAGCTACCTTCCAGTACATGCACTCCAGCTCACTCTGGTACTGATCATACACTACAGTAGCATTTGCAGTCTTCCGCTTAATTGCAGGCCAATCATACCAACCCATGGCATACTGCCATATCTGCCGCTGAGAAAAGGGGTTCACATCATCACACCGAGGGAGCTCCCCAGCAGGCAGCGCATGGCACACACCCTCGTACGAGAAATGAGCCCCCCCCTGGATGTACGTCTTGATGACACGTGGCGCGTTGCCGCTGTGTTTTGTGGCGACGCGGAAGGGCTGCATGTAGGGAAGGTGCACACCAACGCGGGGGATTGGCGTGTGATTGGTCCATTCCAAGGCCCAGTGCACCTCATCATGAGCATATGCCCACATGTAGTTTCCAATGGTCGTGTGGGCAATTCGGGTCCGTTAAAACTTTTGTCCATGCTCGGAGAACCACTTGAAAGCCAAGTCGAAGCTGCCGCCCTTATCCTTGTGCAGATTTGCCACGTGGCCCGTGAATCGTGGCAGGATACTCGTCAGCATTAGAAATGGCAGCTGCACCATGAAATTGGCAAAGTTCTACGAAAAACTTGGTGGAGGGTAACCAGTGGCCATCCTGTCGCCGCACGCTGCCAATCACGTACGGCTTGCCGTCTGTCAGGTTGATCAGTAACCCAGGCGTTACTTTCAAGTTCAATATGGCGTCATCATCGATTATGGCCACGTAAAGGGCGGTCGTGTAATTGTCAGCCCAAAGGTAGCTTCACTGCTGCAAGATCTTTCCTGGAAGCTTCAACCCGTTCTCCTCGTAGTAGACTTTGATCCACGTGGGAATGAGGTCCTCATCCTCTTGCTCATCGCCGTCTAGGATGAGGATGACGTCACCGATTCTACGTGGCCACATCTGCTCAATGCTGCTCGAGCAGGAAGAAATTTGTTTGACACGTGGCTATGGATTAGGAGGTCCGCGCAACCAGGCCATAGGGATATGCCAACAGAAAGCAACAGAAAGGTCATCTGAGACGCAAAGAATCTTGAGTAAAAACGAGGAAAAGAGCACATCACAACAACGCAACAATGAAAAGAAGGAAAGAAGAGAGCGTGCATGCATGTCAAAATCCCAACTACTAGACGATTGGGATAAAAGGGCTTGTTTGTGTAGCGGGTGAGTGCGCCCATAACCCCCCAGGCCAACGTGCCTGTAACCCTTCCTTAGGATCAATCGGGAATCACTAGTGGACCTCTGACAATGCCCTGCACGTACGCATCGTCGTAGAGACTGAAGAGCTTCACCACGCAATGACCTGTTCGTGACCGCCGCCTGCACTCTCTGCCACTACTTCTAGCGACGCCATTGTTATTGGTGGTAGTAACGTTAATAGTAAAAGCATTAGTTGTGGTACTACTAGCAGTCGCAGCGGGACCATCAGGCCGCTGGTCCAGGACAACTTTCATGGCGTTGCCGTCAGGCTCGCTAGAAACCATGGGAATTGCTTTCTCGCAACTGATACTACTAGCGACATCAAGGATTTCCGAGTTCAGACCTGCGCCGCTCATGCTATTCTCCGCCGCCGAGTCGCCGAGATTGACTGACTCTGAGTATTGCCTGGACCAAGATATCTCAAGCATCATTCGCAGTACCATCTTCACGCACAATGTGGCTTCGTCTCCGCCGGTGGCTCGATTGCTCTTGTCGTTTGGATTTAAAACGGAGGGTCTGCCTTGCGCTGGCATCGATAGAGCAGCTGCTAAGTTGTCGTGGTAGTCGTAGGGCGCTTTCAAGAGCTGTCGCAAGTCGGTCGCACCAAAGAGCCTGCGAACTAAGTCGATTGGCGACGAGACTACCGTGCGTGTCAAACCGTTTCGCACGGTAGAGGCAAGGAGCAGCAGAAAAAGCCCCGTCGCGAGGGGGAGGAGGCAGAAGATTGCATCTCGATAGAAAATTACAAGAAAAGGCGGCATATCCTTCAAGTTGTTGCTGCTACTTGTACTGCTCCGACTCATCGCCGCGGATTTCGGACATCCTTCCTCAGTGTTAGTGTTAGATCGATAGTGCACTTTTGGCAGGTACATGTCCTGACCCAAACCTGACCCGGAAACCGGATTGACCCCAGCCTGGCCCAAACTTGACCCGAAAGTGACTTTTGGGCCACTTTAGGGTCAGTGGTTAGGTGGGGGATAGTTTGGGGTCATCGAGTTTTTTGACCCAAAAGTGACCTGACCCGTACCTGACCCGAAAATGTCCTGACTACGTGCGTATGGAGCTTCGAGGATGCAGGTTCGATACCTTTTGCTGGCAGTTATTCACTATGAAAAACAAAATGACTCCTGAATCTAAGGTTCGCGGAAGGTCGCCGGACTGGCTGGATGCATTATTACGAGCACAAAGTAGCAGGAAAACAACAACAGTAGGAAACAACACGTAGGATTTACAACGGCTTTGGCAAGATTCGATTCCTTGACCTCTGGATTGACAAGCAAACATTGGCACCACTAAGCTAAACTTAAGGCATTATGAATGGGAGTTGGAATCTCAGGGTGATGATTTTATGACGAAAGCAAAACTGGCTAGGGTTTCGATTTCCATTGTCCCTACAGTGGTGTCCACTAACCTCACTTGCAGAGCATATATCCTATCACTTCCCAGCATTTCGGTTTCAGTTCTACCTGCTCCAATGTTGAATCTTAGATATTTCACTAGTCTTCCCCTCTACCCTTAGCTACCTTCAGTTATTTTCTTAAGATTATTCCTACCCTACCCTCTTTCCATTTCATCTGTCCTCATTGCAATGTTTGATTAATGTCAGCAACAAGTACTTCCTATTCATCGTATACACATCTCAAGGTATTGTAGTGCTTACAATAATAGGTTTTGATTTTATTTCATGACCACTTCGTCCTCTGCCGTGGAAACATTCTTGTTTTGTGTGTTAACGCATGTCCCTAAGGAGCGCAGGATGGGCGCTGCTACGTCGCGAGCATCTAAGGGATGCGACGGGCGCTGCTACGTCGCGGGCAACCAAGGGACGCGACGGGGGGAGCTACGGCACAAGCAGCTAACGGACAGACGGGCCCTGCTGCATGTTAGAAAGAAGAAGTGGTTGGACTAGAAACAAGTGAGAGTACAAATACCTAACCCTAGAATAATGTACCCCCTAAAGGCTAACCCACTGTAGCCTACACAAATACAACATATATAATGTTCGACACACCCCCATAGGCTAAGTGGGGGAGATCAAGCGGTCACAAGACCAGTCAAAGCAAAGCAAAGCAAGACAAGCTCAGGTGGATCTCAAGGATACCACACGAATTCCGAGCACAAGCAAGTGGTCACAAGACCAGTTCACATGCAGTTTGATAATAGAACAAGAGGTACAGTGATCACAACCTAGCAAGTGTAAGCATGCAGGTATATATATAGAGATCACAATACAAGCAGAGTCAAGAAGTGAGCAAGTGAGGGAGAGTAGGCACAAGGCCTAGAACAGTACAGAAACGCTGATGGTCACAAGGCTGAAGCGCCTTGGTGAACACATCAGCAGTGCTGGCCCGAGTGGCCACGTAACGTAGACGAAGCTGACCGCGCTGATGCAGCTCTCGAGCAAGGAAGTAGCGCAGAGTGATATGCTTCGTTCTGTGCTCCAGTCTGTGCTCCTCACACAAGGCAATGGCATCCTTGTTGTCGACGTACAGCACTGGAGGAGAACGAGGCCGCTCTCCCAAGTCGGTCAGCAGGTAGGTGAGCCAGCATATATCTTGTGCAGCCATGGCTTTGGCGTAGATCTCAGCCTCACAACTGGAGCTGAGAACAGAAGACGAGCGTGTAGACTGCCAAGAAACTGAACCAGAGCCAAGGCTGAAGGTGTAACCCTGAGACGACCGCTGAGTAGCCTGGTCGTCAGCCCAAGAAGCGTCTGAGTGCCCAGTGAGTACAACTCGGTCTCGTCCTCCAAGCACTAGGCCCATGCTCGACGTACTGCACAAGTAGCGCAACACCCTCTTAGCAACATCCATGTGTTCCTTCCGGTGACGGCCAGGAGCGACATAGCGCGCAAGGATGCTAAGAGGGTATGCAAGGTCAGGTCGAGTGCAGGTCATCAGGTATATGAGGCAGCCCACAAGCTCTGGATACAAGCCACTCGGTTCTACGGACTCATCCGAAGGCAGATCTGAGAGCGAGTGACCGGTAGGCAGAGGAGTGGGCTGAGGCGAGGAGTATGTGAAGCGGAAGCGCTGAAGGACCTGCTGCACCATGTGTGACTGAGTCAAGGTGATGGTGCCCCATGCTCTGTCCCGGATGATCCGCAAGCCAAGATAGCTTGTCAGTTCACCCAGGTCTATGCATGTGTGTCTCTTCTGCAGCTCCGACTTCACGTGGGCGAGTGCCACAGTGTCAGCACTGGCAAAGACCAAGTCGTCGACGTACACGAGGATGTAGAACGGCGACAGCGAAGTGTCGGTGCGTAGAAACAGCAACGGGTCAGCAGTACTCAAGAGCCGCAAGTGTAGTCCTCACTGTGTCGTGCCACTCACGCGGCGCCTGTCGGAGACCGTAGACTAGCCGCCAGAGGCTCCACTAGGTACCAGGAGGGAACGACCTAGTGAAGCCAGGTGGGCGGCGCAGCCAGATCTCCTCGTGCATGCTACCCTGTAGGATAGCAGTGTTGAAGTCAAGAGAGTGGAGCTCGTAGTCACGCTGAGCGGCGACGTGCAGCTGAACCCGAAGAGTGGTCATCTTTGGGGTCGGGGAGAAGGTCTGGAAGAAGTCAACTCCCTCTCGCTGACTGAAGCCTCGTGCAACATAACGCGCCTTGAAGACAGGCGGAGAACCCGGTGGCCACTTCACCCTTAAAATCCACATGCCACTGACGATGTTTGCCCCAGGTGGGGGAACCTCGTCGACGTAGGTGCCTGTGAACTTCCAAGAAGCCATCTTTGCGTCCATGGCTGATTGCCACTGAGAGGAGTACTCACCCGCGATCGCCTCAGCGTAAGAGCGCGGGGTTGGGATGTCTGGAGCATCCGGGTCTCCCTCAGGGGCAACCAACATGGACACGAGATGAGGTAAAGTAGTGGCAAAGCACTCAAACTCCTCCTGCCTGTCCTCAAGGACGTCCGTGCCAAGAGCACACTCACCCCCAACGGACGGAGGACAGACAGATCAGACTCAGCGACAAGGCTAGCGGCGTAGTCTAGACGACAAGCTGTAGCAAAGTCAACTAACTCAGCGACTAGAGCAGACGAAGCAGAGGACTCAAAGGTAGGGTCAGTGACAACAGTGACGAGGAGACGCGTGACAGTAGGACTGGTAGCACGGAGGGAGTCAGACTCCTGGTCAGCAAGAGCAGGAAGAGAGGACGCAGGAGGAGACGGCATAGGGACACGCTGAG